TAATAATGTGATTGTTGAAAGACTTAGGCACTCTTTAAAAGCCAAGTGAAATGTGATTATCTGATTAAAAAAAACAGTTGGCAAAAGACGGCATAAAGTTAATGTACAAATGGTTGTGTAGTTAGGAGACATAATATTTTACATTGAATCCTTTCCACTTCAAATAATATTTTTTCACATAATAGCTAGGGATGACATCTTATCCATCACAATAAATCACCAAGTATTAACCTGTTATTGAAAACCATTATATGAGAAACTTTATATGCAAAGAAAGTCATGCTGATTATATCAGCAAATATCTTCATTAGTGTGTGAGAAATACTGGGAAAGAAATTGATGGTGTTTGCACCTACTTACCCTTTCTACTTCGTGGCATTTTTTCAAGGCATCACCATACTTCCCTAGCCTTTGATAAGCTGCAGCACATTCAGTCTGGAACCACATACACTGCATCTCGTTTAGGTTTTCCATAGCAGAAGTTCCTTCCTGAAATAAGTGTCATTATCCCTTTTTGCTATTATAATTTACCAGCTGCTTCTTTCAACTATGGCTAGTTTCAGTCCATTAGTAGGAAACAATCAATCCTTCAACTACTTGGAATACAATAGAAAATGGATATAACCACCCAGAGACTGAGAATAATACTTGTGTTACCCTATGCTCCCCAAGATAGAAAGGAATAGATTTAAATGATAAAAATTATCTGAACAAGATTAGTGTCTCAGATTTTTAAGATTAACTCATGCTGTATACACAGCCTTACTTTTACAATGTGGAGGCAGAAAACAATATTATTGTAAAAAAAAAAATTTAAGTTCAGTGGATAATTTTTGGTCTTTTTTCCTCTGTCAGATAAATGGTGTCCACTAGTCTAAAAATCCACTAATATTTACTGCTTTATCACATAGCATGAATAATTCTAAGTTTCTCAGAACTTGTTACTCTAAATAAAGGAATACCATTACAAGAAAAAAATCCTAGTATTTATTCTCTATAGTTTCAATACTCTAGATTAAGGATAAACAAACTGGAAGCACATTCCACATATCACGAATGCTGGCCACCGAATTTTCAGAATAGTCTTTATGCTAGAAAGAAAACCCAGTTCAACTCACAACACAATTATTTAGGATCAGATTTATGCTATCTTATCCCAATATCTATGCTAGAGTTCTGTACTTCTTGCTCTAACACTTCCGACAAGCACACACGATGAATTTTAGTAACCAAATTTTTAATCGTTCCTAGAAATATCTAGGCAGCTCAGATTCACTTTTAAGTGTTTTCATACCTAAAATTAAAAGAATTAAAGAGCCTAATTCATTTATGTGCTCCAGGACATCACACCAAGCAGCCGTCTTCATATTTAGTTACAAAAATAATACAGAAGTCTGGCCTTTATAAACCTAAGTTTTGTTCCACGTCAAAAATATACAATTTAAAGTGCTTACCCCATCTTTTAAGGATAGGATTTGCTTTAACAACATTTTTTTCTGTAGTGCTAGCTTAAAGGAATGAAATGTTCAAGTCAAAATTAATTTATGTTAATGCTAAATCATAGTGAACACGGTGCACATTCTTGTACAGTTAGCTCAGATGGTATTACTGGGAAACAGCAGGTTTGGCAAACAAGGTATTCATCAGATACATTTCTGGAGAGGTACACAGAAGTACGGCAATAAAAAAACCCACACTTCTGGACGACTACCTTTGAACAACTATTTTTTGCAGTATTTACTGGGTCCATACAGCTGGATCCAGCTCTGGGGCCCCCAGCACAAGAGGGACATGGGCCTGCTACAGCAAGTCCAGCGGAGGGCCATGAAAAAAATCAAAATCACCAGGGCCTGTACTGACAGGACAAGGGGTAACAGTTTTAAACTTAAAGAGCCTAGGTTTAGATTGGAACATAAGGCAGTTCTTTACTGTGAGAACATTGAGGCACCAGCTGCCCAAAGAAGTTGTGGATGCCCCATCACTGGAAGAGTTCAAGGCCAGGCTGGATGGGGCTTTGAGCAACCTGGTCTAGTGGAAGGTGTCCCTGCCCATGGCAGCAGGGTTGGACTAGATCTTTAAAAGGTCCCTTCCAATTCAAACCGTTCTATGCTTCTATATAGTTACTTACCACTGAGTGTAAGAGCATTATCCTGAAAATGAACACTCATAAAAGATATTTTTTATTTTGGTCAAGTTACATGGGTGAAAAATAAACTGCCAGAGGGAAACAAAACATCTCTTTGAGGCCATATACCTACCCTTGTGAATTTAGAGCACATCTCCTCTGCATCCTTCACCATATTTGCTCGCAGCATGTATTTAGCACATTTAGAATTGATAAATCGGTCTGCAGTATCCAAAGACTGTGCTTCATCCATCCATTTGGCAGCTTCCTTGAGGTTACCTACATGCTGTTAGGGAGAAATTAAATACTTGACTTTCAGTATAAGCCTGCTATTAACCAGCTCCTGAAATCTACAGTTACTGGTACCTCTCCCTCAGAAATAACAAGAGGCATTATTATTGTTTGCTCCCCCCTTCCACTCAGATTTTTTTCCAGAATGACAATTTGATGTAAGTTGCTTTGCAAAACCCTAAACAAAAGGGTTTTCATTTTCTTCCTGACAAAACAGTGCCCCAAAAAAACCCCGCATGTAAACCATTGGCCATAACCATTGCTAACTGAAATACTATCTACACATTCACACCAGTTAGATGGCTTGAGTTTTTTTATAAGTTAGGTATTCTACAAGTCCAAATTCACTTCTTACCTTGTAAATTTTTGCTTTTAAATAGAATAGTTCTATTAATGTTGGAGTGCTTGCAATTGCAGCATTAATGTAATCCAAGGCCAAAGAACACTGGCCAAGTTTGTCAAAGTGCTGTGCCAGGAAATAGCGAACCCAAAGCAGTGTTGTTGGGGGCTCTTTCTCTCCATTTTCTGCAACAAAAATGGAAAAAGTTACAGTAAGGTTGAAGACTTCATTTGAAAAACAAACACAAAAAAACAAAGCTTGGAAAAAATCACCTAATATTTCTTGTAATGCATTCATTTACTATAAGGTATCACAACTATTTTCTTGCAAGAAGTATCAGTGCTTTAACAGTTCTTGAGAACTGCCATAAACAGTATTAGTAATTACAGTGTAATTAATAAGACCATAGAAACTCACCACATGTACTAAAAAGGTCACAAGTTTTCAAAGAGGCTTCATAACCAGTAACGAGTTCTTGGATTGTAGAAACCTGTGTATAAAAAAAAAAATCAACTTAATTTATGCTTTATCATGTTTACATAGATTAACACACTGAAAAATACTTAGGCAAAATTAAAGAAACTATACTAAAATAAGTACTTAGTTTGGAAAAAATTGGATATATCCTCATATAGTTTACTTCACCTTTCACAAGCTATCTTTGATCACCCATTTTAACTGGTGATACGGCAGGGAAACGGGTGTAATCTTTGGCAGCTTACAGCAGAAAGTAACCAAGTACATTTGATTAATATCCTTTTAAAGTTGTATTTTGGAATTTTTATTTATTTATGCTATTATGTTTTTAAGCTTCCAAACTGAGCCAAGTGAAGAAAGGTGCTTCGGAAAAGACTCTGCATGAACTTCCCGTAACAATGAAGATATAGAAGAGACTTTGTGGTTTTCTGACAGGCTGATATGTACTCTTAAAGATTTTTTTTTTTTATTTTTGTTTAAAGGTACTGTTGCCTAGAATATGGACTGCATCATTTACATAAAAATGTATGTATTGATAGATTTAAGGCTAATATTTTCTGAAATCAGACCTTCTCAACAACACTGTTGTTCATTCCAATGCTGAAGACTCAGAATTAGCCTAGGCAGTTCTGAACTCACACTATACAAGTTTGACATTTACAACACATACAAATGTTAGTATCTGTGCATTTCATGACAACGAACTATTGCAATACCAGGTCCACAGCATAGAAGTGCCATGTTAAATTTCAAGCATTTATGAAATGCTCAGCCAGCCTGTTTTGCAGCTTCATTCTAAATGTGCCTGCCATATCCAGCAAGTAACCAGCCTCTTAAGAAAACAAGAAAAATACTAAAGAAAAGAATATGATCTGTGTATATACACCCAAAACACAGAAGAGACTTAAAGTAAGATCTGAGTGTAAGCATAGCAGGATAATGGCTACATTCACCAATTGGGTGAAACCTATAGATGGTAAAAACCTAAAGTTTCAATGGTTAAAAGTAAGATGATCCTACATTAAAAAAGTCACTTGCAAGAGTAAGAAAAATATCATAGAGAGAGCAAAACATAAAAAAAGAAGGATTTGACAAAGCATGCATCCACTTCAAGATGCACTTTGGGAAAGGAAGAATAAATCGTGTTCTAGAAAATCAAAGTATACAGTTTTGAAGGATACTACCTTATTTAACCTAATTCAACACAATAGACAAGAAATGTCAAACGTTTTGTTTCAAAGAGAGCAGAGAAGATGACACACTCAAGTCATACACAGCCCGTGTAAAAGCCTCAAAGTGTAATAAATCATTTAAACACACACATTCTGCAAAGCTCTGGGCAAATCTCATAAGAAGTGGTTCCTGGTAGCAAAATCTCAAATACAATAAAGTGTTACTAGACTTCAAATAACTACAAAGTGATAAAGGAACGTGAAGAAGTCACAACTGAAAGGACAAAGGCAAATAAACGCATTAAGCTGTTCTCTGACCTCAAACATATATTTACTAAAAGAAACCTTCAGCTACCTCAGAAAATCTTTGAAGATTCTCTTCTCTAAAATGAATTTAAATGCAGAAGTAAGCATCTGCTTCATGTAGCAGGCATGCAATGCATGTGTGCAACAGAGGAAGTATTATTTCCTTGCTGCTTTTCACTGCAACTTCGAAAGTTATTCTCATCTGGCTGTTCGTAGACTCAAATTTCTTTGAGACCAGTCAGCTTTGCTCGACTGCAAGTGAACTGTGTGTAAAGGGGCAAAGACCCCTTTATTTCCTTAATAAACACATCCCACCTCTACCAAACTCTACACTTTTTTTTTTTTCCCCCACGCTAATGCACACTTGGGAGTATGGCTTCACAGCTGGACAAAGACAATGCTGCCACCAAAATGAATGGCACCACCATCTCTGAGCCAGATCTGCCTGGTTTGGGTGAGTGCTAGTGGCTGTATCCAGGGTTGCAAGTCATTTACTCCCTGCTTTATCTCAGCATACAGATGCCCAATTACGAGTTCCATCATCAGGGGAGCCCGCAGCAGAAAGACCTGGGACACTGAGGCAGTAAGAAAGCTTCTCTTCCTAGCTGAAGGATCTTCAATCAGCTTCCTGCAACAGTGAAATCAAATCCTCTAATCCTGAGGTGATGGAGAACACCAAACTGTACCATGTTTTAAAAGTTGACAAGTTCTTCCAAAATCAGAATTCTGCAGTGGTTTTGGCTTCTACATTTCAAGAAACTACACTGGAACTGTCATTCTGAAAACTACTTTGAACAACACATTTGGAAACAAGTATTCCGTGAAATCACCAGCTACAAAAATAACACAATCAGGTAGGTAGGTTACTGCAGACATCCTTGATAAAAATTACAGTATCTTTGTTTCTCATGACTACCCAGAATCTTCTTCCTCCCTTTTATGCTTATGCTTCCATCTCTCACTAGTAATTTAGGAAAATAATTCCAGGTTCATGTGCTGCTTCAGGGAAGAAATGATCTGGAAATATGAACCTTAATTTCTGTGTCCATACTAACTGCAAATTTAGTAGTAAAATCTGTTTCTTGGATTTACTACCATCTATTATTATTTGTATTCTAGAGTCACCACTGCCATCTTGAAGGCAATAATTTTTCACTATTTCTAAATACTACAGCATTCTTCAGAAGGATCCTTTTACAATTTGTAAAAAAAAAAAATAAATAATCAATCTGAGGTATCTAGAACTACCATGATAACTGATCATGAGTTAATTTAAAATGGTACTATTCTAGGAAAAAATTTTCAGTTATTCCCTTGCCATGGATCTGAAAAAGCTTAAGGTATTACAAAAGTGTAACTGAAGTCATCAGCAAATCTCAGGTTTTGTTATGACAAGAATGGAGCCAATTCCAGAACTGGGGCCACCAGTTTCAGAAGCCTCTTAAGTAATCAAAATTCAAACTTCATACCTTTTCATAGGTCACCACCTACAACTTTTATTTCATTATGAAAGAACGATGAGCTAAGCAGCATGAATGCAAGGAGGAAAATGGGCTTTAGCCTTCCCCATTAGTATAGACAAGTGCTCATTTTCCCTCCTATACCTTATGTAAAGACTGAAACAGCGCACGCTCACAAACCAGTACAGATTCTTGTCAAGTGTAATAATCTTGAAAGTTAAGAAAGCATTTTCCACACTCCATACCACCTGAAGCAAAGACTCCTCAAAAGCCAGAATGGTGGGGTTTTTTTCTTATTCCTATGCAGTTTATTTCAACTGGGAATGATGGTTTCATAAAAACAAACTTTGAGTAAATGCCTTGAAATACATATTTGAGAAATACAAACTGAGACCGAAATAAGTATCATGCATACCCATCTTAATATTTTTAAACTGTAAGCAACGGGAACACAATTCACTTGAACCCCAATTCTGAATTACCTTTTCCCGTAAGCATTAGTTTTTACTTAACTCATTATACTATGAAGCATTTGTGTCCTCTTTAGTAAGGGACAGCCTAAGGAGAAGTTATTGTTTTCCAGATAACTGGCTGATGGCTAGAATTCTTTTGTCATCACTTGTATCTACTACAATCCTCGTTTGATTATTTTTTTTTCTATACTCCATATAGGAGGTAAGTTGAATGGAATGACAAAGGAATAGAGGTAGAGAAAGGCAATATAGAAATGTTTAAGAAACATACATAACAAAGGCGAGGTGAAATACATAATAAAAATGAAACCAACAGTGCACTAGCACAAAGCAGGGATGCAAATTTTTCAAAAAGGCTCAAACTCTGGTTCTTTACTATGGAAGTTAAATTATTAAATTGTCTATCCTACTATTACAGCAGTTGGGCAAAATTTTATAACAGACTTCTATTTCAATGACAACCTTCAAAACACTAATACTGTATTTCCTTCTTCAATGAAACAACTGCAAGAAAAGGAACTGAATTATCAGTACCAATCATACAGAAATATTGTAATGTACTATAAAGTGGTCAGACTTGAGCTGTGTCAATAACTTTTTTTTTAAAAAAGGATTCAACTTATTAATTTAGCAGTCACAACCACTACATTTAAGTTTTGGGGTTTTCTTCAGCAACTGCCATTATAAATCAGTAAGAAGTTACCATCACTTCCATTGCACAAATAGATTAAAAGGTACTGTAGGCAGTTTCAGAAGCAATCCATAGGTTTAATATTTGGCACAGGTTTGAGTCCCTGCCTTTCAAATTCTTGAGAACATGTTTAATATTAATCTGCACTGTTCTCCAAGGCAAACAACCAAAAGCAAAGGTTCGAATACTGCTACTAAGATATAAATTTCAAGATGCATCTACAAAGCTGCCCAAACAAGAAAATATGCCACTGCCCTGTAGATATAGATGCAGTGGTTGTCTTAAGAAAATTTAGTTACGCATTAGTGCAGAAGAATCTTCAAGCAAATCCCAGAAATACTTTAGGAAGATGTGCTTTTATAAAAAGATTTAACTGTTACAAAACTCATACATATTTACACTACTTCAACACAGACAAGGGCTACATTATCTTGCCCTGAACACCATCAACAACGAAAAGAATACAAAACAGTGGGGATGAATAAAAAGACAGTGGACAGGAACAAGATCACACTTAACTTGGCACAAATATTTGTAGAGTGACATTTAAATCACTAAAATGGCCCATCATCATCATGCAAACGGATCACTACTCGGAGACTGACACTTCAGAAAACCACTTTGACTGTTTCCTTATGGAATGCCTAATAATCATACATACCAGAAGCTAAGTATTTGCATGTTGTTGTTTTGCAGTTGTGGGGTTTTTGTTTGTGCTTTTTTAATAAAAGAACTGAAAATTTTCAAGACTAGCTATTCGAAATTCTGTACTGCATCCAGAATAATTTTAATTATTCAGTTACTTTAATGAGTAACATTCTCCTCCTTCAAACAGCTGCACAGTCCACTGCAACCCATTCCAAAACAGTAACTGGTATCTTTAAGAGGATGCTGCTGTCTCAGAAAATAGT